ATATATATGTATATATTATTTATCTTTTTCATTTCTATATAGATTTCAGAATATTATTATTATGTTGTCTGCTATGTTTGACTGCGGTTGACTATATCTGTTAGTCAGTGTTTAATTAGGCTTCAAAGATATAAAAGTGAGTGGGTGTTATTTCTGCACATTAACACAAGGGCTCAGTCCCATTATAATGTACACAATGACGTGTGTTGCCATGCCTTCTTGTATGTGTTGTGCTGTGTTCTTGAAGGATCCTTCCTTGTTGACTAGAATGGTGTAGTATAAGGCAGTGCACCAAAATGCAGCACGTAGGAGCTTCTTTTAACATGGCGCAGTGGTGGCAATGGGTCCCTTCGAAAACACTGTGAGCAGACAAAATCTGGAGCAGCTGTGCATGGCAACCAATCAGCATCCACCGTTCATTTTCAAAGCTTAACTAAACCAAAATGAAGAGAGAAGCTGATTGGTTGCAACTGCTACAGATTTTGTCTGCTCCAGTTTAGATAAATTACCCCTGTATGTTTCACACATTTTTCCCGTGTTGTGAAATGCAGAAGTAATTACATCAGCCCTCCCAAACCTATTGTTCTGAAACTGTATTGTACTGTAAATTGTATTGTAACTGTACTGTCTCCACTATTTTGTAAAGCGCTGAGCAAATTGTTGGCGCTATATAAATCCTGTATAATAATAATAATCAGCATAGGCAGTTAGATCAAGCCCAAAGGTGTAGTTGGAATGGGACAATTCTGCCTGTTATTTTCTACTATACTTTACATTTAGGTGTGGTGTTATGTTGGTGTTATAAATCTTGATACAGTCACTCTTGAGCTAGGTATATATGCTTTGAATTTCAGCCAGTTCATGAGGTACTGACCAAAATGTATTTTGTGTGGGTGCCTTTGTCAGCACCCTTCCAACTGGCATCCCTAAAGCAGCTGATCGAAGGAGCATGTCGGAACATTGTTGGCCAAAAGAGCTAGCAGCCAGTGAGATGACAGCTCTGTTCGGGTATTCGGTTCAGCCGGTAGGTTGAACGAAGAAAATAGAAGCACGTGTACCCAACGTTATACATCTCCTACGCTGTCCACCTTTGGGCGATCCTTAAAAACCCATCTCTTCAGGGTAGCCTATCTTATCTCAACATAACTGCCCTTTTACTTCTAAACAATGATTACCTTTTGTAACACTTGTCCCCCCCCCCCCCCCCCCCTCAAAGGCGGTA